TGCGCTTGTTTGTTCCAGATTTAGGAGGCTTAGCCTTTGAGACCACTATTATTCCTTGGAACTATGTAAGGGTTAGCTTATGAGCTATTCTCTTGGTTCTGTCATAGGTTTGATGCGATCATCGTGCCTTTGATTTGTGATGCTAAACCCCATATATAATGCTTAATCTTCTTATATTTAGGGGTTACAAGTGTTGGACACATCACTGCAAGATCATTAAATCTAGCGATATAAGCTTTTATCTCTAAACCCTTCATGATTAGGGTCCATAGTTCTTGTTCCAACTTATGTATTTCCTCCCTAGGACAATACTCCTCTACTAGCATCATCTTTAGCTCTTCCCATTCCGTGGAATTTGTAGTATCAATTCCCATTGTATTCACATGGCTGTTCCACCATGTATGTGCTGCATCAGCGAAAGTACATGCTGCAAATCGTACTTTACAATCGTCTGGATAGAAGCTTATTTGAAAGACGGACTCTATCTTTTCTATCCACCTAGTCAAGTTAACAAACCCTTCATTTCCATGAAAGCTCTATGGTCTGCAATTCATAAAGTATTTGTAGGTACACGTTCTAGCGGTCCCTACATCGCCTTCATTTCTAACTCCACCTCTCGTAGCATTAGATAGAGCCACAACAATTCTTTGAGCTATAATTTCTTGAAGTTCTGTTGTACTTATTTGGGGGTTTGGTTCTGGTGGTTTTTGTTGTGGTGCTAATCGTTGGTTAGGGTTTAGCCGAGGGCTACTCCTTCTAGGCATTTTGTTTAGTTCCTATTATAATTAATAAGAATTTTATGATTTTTGTTAGTCATTTAATACATGAGTACTAAATACTTTAATTATTCTTCAAAGTGTAAAATATAATGGATAACACAATGATTACTGTAATATATGCTTCATATTATTACCAACGATTTCATCAGTTTATTTAGGCTTATAAGAGAAAAGTTCCTATAAACATTGCAAAATTTGCAAGGTTTACTACACCCTTGCTCTAAAATTTACTCTCTTTGCCTTAACTAGTCTGATTTCTCTATTTACACAACCACCAGTTTTAGCTTATCTACCAGTAACCGAGGTGATGACCTAGCACATCAGTGACATGAACCACTTGCTCCTCAAGTGCTTGAGTTCTCTGCTCAAGACCTCCTGTGCGCTCCTCGTTTCTTGAGGTTTGATTGTATAGCTCTAACTTTGCAATCCTTGCATCATTAGTAATCATGTCATTATAAGAAAAATTTATACGATGATGGACATCTATCACCGATTCTTGATCTTGCTTCCTCTGTCCTTCTAGACTTCGCACTCTTCCGAAGAGATGAGTAGCCCTTACTTCAACAATTTCCATCTTATCTTCAATTCTCACACTTTTCTCAAACAATTGAGATATGGTGTTATCTTCAGAAGAATGTGGGGGAGGTGGTCGAGACAATTGAGCAATCTTGTACATCTTAGCAGCTTTTTCTTCTGCCACCCACCTATCAATGGTTTGTGTTATCCGTGCAGGTTCATCTTGAACTTTATGACTTCCTGAAGATGTCGCCTTCTGATTCTTCTTAATCTTTATCCATCTTGGTATGGATTTGTGAGCTGTGCATTTCATCTTCGCTCCTCCTGGAACTTGATGGTAAAGAGTGTTCATGGGTGGTAAGGATGATGCCACTGATTCTGTCTCTTTTATTGCCTCACTTTCTTCCATTGGTTCACTCTCTTCCTATTCGTTGGAAGGTAAATGTGCTCCATCATCAGAAGGTATTGGATGGAAGGTAGTTGGATTTTAGGGTAGTACGGATTGCCTACTAACATGGGGAATGAAACTTCTTCTTCTTCATCCATATCCTCGATGATTATCCATTCTCGTGAATCAGCTATGTCGAACTCCTATACATTTTGGATCACCAAGTGTTTAGTCTATCAAATATTTTTCCCAAATTAAATAGTTCATATGATCTGATCATAATAAAATGTAGTTGCGCACCTACACCTAGTTGTGATAGAATCTACGCACATATAAACTTTAGTTGGAATATTTGATCTAAATCCTTGAGATCAAAATTATTCCGGGTACAAAGGTGTATTCTCATCGCGGTTCTGAGTCTTTATATATGACTCTGTGTTCTTATTTATTGTATTCACGCTTTAATTATTGTTTTTTACTTCCGGTCTATCTAATAAGGCACCGGCTAGTTAGGACGGTCGAAAGGGCATAATCATTTTAGCATATAGCCGTTCTAAAATCCAGCAACCCAATTCAACATGTCTATCCTGTCACTGCTCCCGTAAGTAGTCCTTCAGAAGAATAATTAATAATACTTTTTATTGTAGGCTAAGGAATATACCTAAACCTAGTAGAGTAATATCTAAACTATAGTCATGCTTTCCTAAGAAAGTACTAGTTCACTATAGTTAATAACTCTGATACCAAATCTGTAACACCCCGACCGTCGGCGAAAACACTGGGTGGTGTAACGCCATTCTTCGTATCACAGTTATTTAACATACATTGAATAGTACTAAAAAAATACATACATTTATTGATGATTGAAGTTACATTACTGTTTTTCTAGACCCTATTACATAGTATCTGCCTATTGTGTACTTCTTAATGAATAGAAATGTAATAGTAAAACTTCTCTTGTTCGAATACATACCAGCTGTTCAAGTTCCTGAAAACACATGCATTTTAAAATATGTCAACATAAAGTTGGTGAGTTCACAGGTTTTGATTCCATATAAAAATAATACTTTTTCTGAGTTCAAAAGTTTAGTTTTTGAAAGTATCATTTTGAAGCTCCAACATTTAGTATATATATTAGGTAAAATAGTCTACTTATCAATTAAGTGTTATACCTAAACATTCCTTGAACCTAAGGTATAAGTAGGGGCAACTTATACTTAACATTAATAGTTGTATACGACAAAGTATACCGCTTCTAACAATATACTACCATGATCCTGTAGCCGTTTCTATGACATAATACCTCTGACAAAACACACTCATGATTTCCATGAGAAACAACACCGCACGCTTCATCGACTCCAGAACAATAACAAGTAAAAGGATAGTTTGTCACTCGCTTATGGTTGACTGTAGCTAACAATCACATGTGGGGTTGTCAACCCATATACTAATTATACACAAATTCCTCACTCACACATGATTAACGGTTACAGTTCAGAGGATTTCCGCTAAGATCCCCAATCTTAGTTGATGAATCCAATTACTCATTTAGACTGCGATGACTTCCTATAGCGCTAACAATAAAAGAATTTTCATGTCTAAAACCCTAAGTTATTAGACTATGCTTTTAAACATTACTCCTAAGTTCATATTACTTTAGGCAGTACCACAACTATAACTTGATGAAAAACCAGGTTTTATCTTAACATAAAACCAATAATAACAACATATAACGTTCCTAGTTTTGTCTTGACGTAAAACCAACAATAACAACGTACATACCAATTAACATATAGAATATCCGAGTATAACTCTGGAACTATATCGCACACAACATATATATATATATATATATATATATATATATATATATATATATATATATATATATATAATCTTAAGTATAACTCAAGACCTACATTAGTATATTTCTATAACAATAGCATGCTAACAAGTTTACAATAGTTATATAGATATAAATTAATTATATCCCGACTAACGAACATACTGTCATATAAATATAGTATTAACTTGTATTCAATATTTAGCATGGGTTTTCCCCCCAAAACATTAAAAAGTGGGGCCGTGAAACTCACTTTAGTAGCGTGTTTTGACAGTATCTAACTGAAAACGTTCAGCGGTTCGCGCACACCGGGCTCGGGATGCAAGAGGGCTTTAACAAATGAGAGAAAGAGAAGAGATTTAGGGGTAAGAAGAGAAGAGGTCGGACTTGCTATTTATAGGCTGTCCAAGACAAGTTCACATCGTGAACTTAAGATTCACATTGTGAATCTGAGCTGATCATCTCGTAGACTTGCCATTTGCGTCCTAGCTTCGGAAGGTGTCACAATTCGAGTTTCATGTCGTGTCTTTTATGTTCACATCATGAGGATTCAAAACCTCACTCCCGTAGACTTCGCACGTATTTTCTAGCTCCAAAACGTGTCATGGACTACTTTCACGTCGTGAATCCAGACTCTAAGACAGCTATAACTTTGGAAGGTCGTAACTTTCGCAAACGAACTCCGTTTTTGACGTTCTTTTTATACACGCGTAGTTAATTCCGAGTACTACAACTATATTTTAGATTCCAATAGCATATTCAAAGTCTATTTTAAATTGATCTTATTATAGAGATTTATAGTGTTCGGTTTATTATAACTTCTTCACGCGAAGTCAGATTTAGACGTTCTCTATATCTTTGGAATCGTATGGACATATACTTTGAGTTGTATCATAAAGAAAGTTCATATTTGTATTAGAATTTATCATGAACTACATATTAAGTTTATCACATTACTAGTTTAACAACATCACATTACATGATTGGCATAATCACATGTGATTGTTATTTACCTATTTTGACTAGTGTTACAAAAAACTTTTACAATATTGTCCCCAACAAATTCACTTGAAGTTTAATAAAAGAAATCATATGTTAATTATGGTGTTAAATAGTTAAAGAACACTAAAGTGAGATTACAATGTCAAATATGAGAGAATACCTGGTGATGACAACAGGGATGCCAGCTTGTGAAGCATAAATTGCAGCTTTTACTTTGATTGTCATACATCACTTAACAACACAAGAATATCAACTTTGATTAGATTTTATTTAGGATCACTAGGAGGCCACTATAAAGCCCATCTACATTACTTAACAACACAAAAAGATCAGCTTTCAACTCCAAAGCCAGTAAGGCTACCATGTTGTCATTATCCCAGAATATACCCGGATAAACATGTAAAAATTTGGAGCCAATAAGGCGAAAAGTAACATTTACATATTTTTTATGTATATAAAGATATATAAATCAAGCAATATGTACCTTATATATAGCTTTTCGGGTGCTAATGGAATGATTCTCCTTGAATATAGGAATAACTTCTAAAGATAACAAAGAATCCACTGTTTCCATAAGTTGTTTCCTAAATTTTGAATTCCTAAAGTCATTATCAGTCATGAGAAGCTGAGCTAATGTCATATCCAGTAGAATAAATAGTGTATCATAAAGTTCCATAAGACCATTTTGTCTAACAGCTGCACATACCCTTCCATCAAGCTCAGCTTGTGGTTTCTGCAGATCCGCAAAGCTTTAAAATAAGAAAAATCATCAGTCATAAAAAATCTATCTATATTAACAAAAACTATGAGTTAGTTATAGTTTACCTGTTGTTGATTAGATTCCTATATATAAGCCTTTTTCTACTAGCTCCAACATCCCTTATACATGTAAAGGACTTGAAAGGGCAAAATTTAAACACTATAGCCACTTACAGTGAAATTTATAGAAAAGAAAGAAACATAAACTCAAATAATAATTTTATACAATTGTTTTGTTTACTTGGAGTTTTCTAAACTTAGTTAACTACTTATTAAATATCTTAGTCTATTTCTACTGAAAAATCAAATTCATGTTGTTCTAGTTTATTAGATGAAAACATGATTAACAGTTACAAGCTGTATTGAAATTACAGGCATCTAAGGCGATCACAACTACAAAACTCCTAAATTTTCAAGTTTCACCTGATTCCTAGCAAAGAAATATAGGGGCAACTCTCGTTACTAACTTAGGATGCATAAAGTTTATCAAATTGGTGTAATGGTACCTTCATCTATTGAAGTTCTCCCCTTAGCCGTAAATTGAACCTTTTAAATATGAAATTCAAATTATAAGAATCTCAAAATCCATGGCGTTCTCACTAATTTCCAAGAGAAACCTACCTACAAAAGAAGAAATAGAACAAAGAAGGTGAAATTGGTGTATAGACACAAAAAGTGAAAACAAAAAAGAAAAAGAAAATAACACTAACTAGATACAATGAATGGTTTGTGACGCAATTTCATCTTTAATCTTTAATCAAGACCAACAATCATCATTTATCCCCTCAATTCATAAACAATCAATTGAATAACAGATTTCTAACAAGTAAAAGCAAAATGAAGAAGAAAATATAAAAAAAGATACCTTAAATATTGCTTGGGTACATGAACACTCTAACCCTAGATCCTTGCAAAACGAAAGAGACAACCATTTATCAAATTGACACCAGAAATCATTCAAAATGTTGTAAATATGTTTCATTTCTGATTTGTAAGTGTGTATTACCATGGATTTTGGAGGAAGATTAGACGTGAACTTAGCACACACAATATCAGTGTTACCATGAGGCCTAGTAACCATTCCCCAAATACACATGTAATATGATCCATTCTTCTACACCTCCACCTTTGCCTAGTACATGTACGCCATGTGTTTCCCTTGATACCATCCTACCTCATCTTTCGTGTTAAGTCCTTCAATTTGAACCAAAGATGTATTTGGGTACTATTCGACTTCGACCTGAACCAAAACATGAGAAAAACTCAACATACTTCCAATTTCAATAACAATTTCATTGAACAATCTTATCAATGACGGAGGGAATGAACTAGCGAATAGACCGTCATAATGTGGGATTGAAACCTCAACATCGTCGGCTAGGTAGAGGAGGTCGAGAGCAGTGTGGATGTTTTTCACCTCCGGTAGCAGGACCTCTAAGAGGTCCTGATCGCCGACGCCTAGAACCTCGTTTCCGACTGCAATTCCACGGATACGGTTCCCAGGGACGAAGGTTTCAATGTTGTTTTTCATCCAATCCATGGCTCGATCATGGATTTTGCTTATATCTCTCAGGAATTCGTTTCCTAGCCCGATAATGATCTCGATTCCCGATCCTTTGAACGCTTTGAGAACTTCATGATCGGCGTCGTAGATTCTTGTTCTGCGAGAAAAGATATTGATCAGTGAGAGATAAGAATGATGGAAATAAGGTAGAAGATAAAAAGGCGACATTTCAAAATTTTGGGTTTTCATTTCCCCCCAAGATGCAAAAGAAGAAAATGTGTGTTACATTAAATAAAATATTAAGTGACATCTCTACACAACACTCATTTTAACATAGGTTTCGCCCATGTTTTTAATTTTTTTTTCATTGTTGTAAAAATCCCCATTAGGTCTCGATTAATCTCCGATTAATCCCTAGGCAATACCTAGAAGAAGTTATATCCTAATAGAAACTATTTGATATATGCTTAGTGTTGTATTTATCATATTAACCTATTTTGTTATAATATTAGTGGTATTTATGAACTTTCATATGATATTAGTAATATTTAATTTTTTTAAATTTAACAAATTAGCAATTAATGGTCCTCGATTAATCTCCGCCTAGTCGATTAATCCCTTGACCCCAGTCCATCGCCTAGCTAATGTCGAACGATTTTTACAGCCTTGATTTTTTTATTGGACACTAATTTTAGCGCAGGAAAAAATGTGTGTCCTCTATCCTTCATTTTTTTAAATGGGCGTTGTTTTTAGGACACACAAAAAAATGCGTATCATAAATCAATGTGTGTCATTAAAGGCATTTTTCTAATAGTGTTTGGAATTAAATGATTGTTGGTTCTTGATTTATTTCCTACTCCGTGAATATATCCGCGTCTCTCATCGATGGCACGACTAAGACAATAAGACTCACTTACATGTTTGGCCTCCCCGACCTCTTCTTGCATCTTCGTATACCCTGCTTGAATCTTTTCCTAGATTGAAAAAAAACAATAAACATACATTAATTAAAACAAATAACTAAATTTAAACACTAAATAATAATAATATACCTTAAAAACTACTACAATAATAATAATAATAATAATAATAATAACTATTATTATTATTATTTTTATTATTATTATTATTATGATTATTATTATTATTATTATTATTATTATTATTATTATTATTATTATAACAACAACATATTTAAAAATCTAATAACTTCGTTTATTACCTAATCTTTCTTCTTTTGCTTGCGGTGTACACCAACTCCGGCCTTTCTTGAAACGCATCTGCGGTCTGCCTCCATCCCTCAAGATGTTGTGGGCTTATTCGTTGGTCAACTTATAATAAAGCCAAAAACAATTAATATACTTATATAAGTGTTAATAAAAATTTTATATAAGACAAATAAAATTTATTTCCTCCATATGGCGTCTTTTACCATATGACCTACAACCACGAGCATTTGTATTTGGAAGTTTGGCCCTACATTCTTTACATTGGTATGATTTGTTAGCTACAACAAATCAAAAGGTATGTAACTTTCCCTTATGAATTTAGGTTCCATTGAGGCTGCATGTCTCTCACTTAGATAAGTCTATAAGTACAACTGAAGGTATAATTTTTAAATTAAATAGAAAATGGTGCTTCCTAAAGCAACTCTAGACTCTGATCTAATCATACATTAGTCCTAGGATAAGTGATCAAATATTTATTCATTCTACAAGATATCCTATGGACATGAGACATGGATTGAAATCAATCTCATTGTCCTATATTATGTTTCTCAATTACACGGTCTGAAAATTTCTTTTCGATTAATTAATAAAACCATAATACACAAATCATATCATTCATAAATAAATTTTGTTATATCAAATTAGAGTATCATCTCAAAACATATTCTTTTTATCAGAGTAAACATCCCAGGCTAAAAGCTTCTAGGTGTGTGCCATGCAGTCATCCCGAGATCCTCCCCCCGCTACATCGGGCCCCTCCCGGCATCGGATGAATTCGGCATCAGGCCCTGCCTTGCATCGAGCCTCGCTCGATATATATATATATATATATATATATATATATATATATATATATATATATATATGTTTTTTCTAGGGCTCGCCTGTCTCCGGGCCCCGCCCGCTACACACATACAACAATAACGTATATACATGCTAGAACATAACAAACAATCATTATATTATAACTGCTAGCCTCAAGGCCTCGCCGATCTAGGGCCCCGCCCCTACTCTTCTACTAATGAGATATGGAACCCCGTCCACCCTCAGCTAGTGATAAGATACGAGCCCCCGCCCATACTCATCCCACTACCAGGAACATACAAGTATCACAAAGACAACAAGTATAACTAAACATACACTATTGCCTCGGGTACCACCCAACATTAAATCGTAGCTCAGAAACATACATATAAACATTCCTCAGGCCTCGCCCGACATCGGGCTGAATTTTGGAACATATAAACTGCATCGGGCTAACCTTGACATCGGATCTAAATCCAGTGTACACTAATATACATAAACGGGCCGACGTTGGTGCCTTAGACTCGTTCCTACTGAAGAAAACTCACCTCGCAAAGCTGATTGTAGAATCCTGCGAATAACCCCTCGGTGGTAGCTGGCAAATCCCCGAATTGCTAATCTCTCAACTTCTCGAGCTATCAATGCCAAAATGTCACTTAGTCCATAACAATAATCTGCCTTAGGGTAAAATGACCATTTTAACCCTATCCCAACTTGGTCCAAATCTAAGGCTCCACATCATAATATAAAAGGCCCAACACTAGATGGGCTTCCTAAGCCCACTAGTGGCCTACTAATGGCCCAATTTGCTAAATTGGGCCCAATCCCCTTAATAGGCCTTACCCTAAGCCCAAAGTATATACTTGGCCCATATTAAGTTATTAACTGACTCCTGATGGCCCATCAAAGCCCAAATACCCAATGATTGGCCCAAACTGAGGCCCCAAAACGCAAAGCCCATATCTAATACGTACGCGGGGCGTACATCTATGTATGCTAAGCGTACTGGCTGATGGCTTGTATGCCATGCGTACCTACTTGTACGCTAAGCGTACAACCCTGTTAAGCTACTTTTTCCATTAAGTGTATAATACTACAAACCAGCAGCTACAATCACAGATCTAAGTCCTTATTAATGTCTTATATCATAAAGTCAATTACTTGGTGGCTTGCAACCCACCAAAAGAGCCCAAACTTGAAATGTAACAACTTACTTCCATCGAAATGGCTAGATCTCATGCATGAACCCATTAAGACAGTCAAGATGGAAACTTTACTGCTTATGGGACCCTTTTAGCTCTAAGGGTGGCAACCCTAAGCTTAAACACGAGATTTCATCAAAAGATCCATTATTTAGAGTAAGAGAGTCCATAAACTCCTCTAAATAGAGATATAAGAGAACAATCATCAAGTGAAAAACTTTATACCTTGAAAGGGTCTGGAAAGCGGCAAAAGTCCTAGATCTACAACTTCTCCTTTGATCTACTGCCTTGCTTTGCTCCTTTCTTGCTTGGAAAATGGTGTTACAACACTAAAATGCTCACTAATGGCCACCAAAGTTTCAAGAAAACTCAAGGTAGGATTAGGGTTTCGTGGTGGCTGTCCAAGGGAGAAATGGAGGCTGATCATTGAGGCTTATCATTCCTTTTATAGTGGCATACCGTAAAATTTAGGGTTTCTAGAGTCTAGACGTACGTTGGGTGTACCTCTTGTACGCTGGGCGTATGCCTAAAGCACCTGTGATCCTTCTCCTTTAGACACTGGGCGTAACCCAGCTTACACTGGGCGTACCCAACCATACATGTGCATGCCTCCCTTGCATGCATGGGGGTTACTTGTTAACTATTTCCATCATTGACTAATATTGCCAAAAACTTCCAATTGTCATAACTCCTTTATTCCATGTCCGTTTCCGATGAACTTTGTATCCACGAAAAGGTGTCAGGAAGCCCTACGCTCCTAGCTAGACCCCCATCCAAAAATACCTTCCGGATAAAAGTCATGACCCATAAAAGACCGAAACACCCCTACCCTTCCGGATAAAAATCTCTGCTACTCTTCTTACTCTGCCTAACTGTTGGGGAATGCTATGGAGATCACGTAGCCTTACATCCTAAATAACTCGCATCCTACCGAGAAAATCTCCCACCTGGTTCCCAACCAGTTATCATCTACCGTGAATACACAAACTCAATGTTGGGAAGTTTCCCAAACCCCCAATTTGTGCACTCCTCTATCCCAATAGCCACTTGGGTTGCTTTTCTTCCTAACAAAGTTGTGAACTCATCCCAATTTCGCACTTACTTCTACCCCTGACCTCTAATATAGTTCTCCCCCACTTCGACTCCACTAGATCCCTACAACTACTAGCTTTGTGAAAGGATATGCATGAGTATCTTCTGATGACACTCACTTTACTATGAGATGATCATCTTCAACTCTATGCATGATATAATTCAACTTTTTGTTGATATGTATGGATTTACCATGATCTCTCGGATCATTGGTTAAAGCAACCACTCCATCATTATTACAGAAAATTCCATTGGCTCCCGAATGGTTGAAACTACTATGAGGTTGCCAATGAAGTTCCTCATTCAAGCTGCTTCCTTTGATGCTTCACTATGATTCAAAAGTAGAATCAGCTACTGTGTCTAGCTTGGACCTTTTCCAAGTGACTTATCCTTCATTTAATAGAAACACTAAGCCAGATTGAGAACAAAGGTTGTCTCTATCTGTTTGAAAGTTGGTGTCACTAAACCCACTTGATCTTAGTGTTTCACTGCCACCAAGGATTAGAACAAAGTCCTTTGTCCTTTGCAAACACTTGAGTATGTTCTTCACTTCTATCCAATGATCTCTGCTAGGATTTCCCTGAAAGTGACTAACCATGCTTAAAGAAAACGAAATATCAGGGCGAGTACATGTCATAGCATACATGATTGCTCCTATAGCCAAATCATATGGGACTTGACTTATTTCCTCTATCTCTTCATTTGTACTAAGGCTTTGAGTCTTACTCAACTTGGCATTATTTTGAATAGGTAGCTCCCGTTTCATGGAATTTTCCATACTAAAATGTTTTAGTACGTTATGCAAGTATATACTTTGACTAAGATCAATTAGCCTTTTCTTTTTATCCCTTAATATTCTTATCCCAAGAATATAGGCAACATCCTCTAGATCTTTCATGGA